TAGGTTTTTAACCAATCAGAACTCTCATACTATCTTAGTTATTTTATAGAAAGATATAAACAAATGGTACAGCGATTTTTGTTTGACTTTGAGATGAAAACACGCGAACAAAACAGAAACAACAATCGAAAGGAAATAGAGCGATTCGATTGGTTTATCGACCGGATACAAACGCGCGTGGCTTTTGATTGGTTAAGCGAACTCTCGGGTGAAAAAATTTCATGCCCTAGAACTTTCTAGAAATCAATCGATACTTCACTTTGACGTCATACTGCAACACGATTGGCCAATCGAACAATGCCTTCTCCATATTAGAATTTTGTTTGGCGGGAAAACGAAGAGTCCATGTTTTTATCTTTTCATCCATTGGCTGATAAAACAAATAACGAACACTTACCAAAACCATTTTTCAAGGTCATGCGAAAATCGCTCTATCCTTTGTGTCCCTTTTCTCCCTCCAGGTCTAATTACATTGCCGCGTGGCATGCAGCCAAGGTGATGGTTCCTGCCAAACAAGGACTTATAGTCAACGTTTCGTCGCCCGGAGGATTGAGATATCTCTTCAACGTTTCATATGGTGTAGGAAAGGCTGCGGTAAGACACACTACAGTGGAACCCGGTCAATACTAATACCAGAGGGACCTGCCATAGTGTCCTTAAAATCCGGGTGTCCATATTAAGCGAGCTCTCAGAAAAAAACGTCACGGGCGCATATTTTGTCGATGCAAAGAATTAAGCAGACATTTTAACGAGAAAGCGTTGTTTAATTACTTAACTGTAACTCCAACAAGTTTATCCTAAAGAAATCTTTCGATCGTGTGTCATTGTCTCCGACTAAAATAACCTTTTAAGTACTGTTCTTGAAACATGACAATGGAATCCATGGCGTTACTTTGTATTGACGCTTTTTGTTTGAGAGACTCAGCCAGGCGCGCTGAATATTAGGCAGACCTTTTACTTGCCTTTTCTGTTAGGTTTTCATTGGTAAGAAATTAAGTTATAGTCAGTGTGCAGAAGAGAACTGTCCATAATCGGGGTTGATGATGTATGAGAGTTTGTGCCTCGGGACCGTTGTCCGTATAAATCGGTGTGGTTATTTTTAGAGAAAATATGTGAACTTTTTGTCGGGACAAACAAAACTGTCGGTCATAGTATACGGGTGTGCGTACACTGTTCTTTTTTGTGTGCCTTTTCACTTTAGCACCAAGAAATTGTTTTTGTCGGTTTGCCGTATAGAGGGGATGCAAGAACGGTGGGTGTACTGTTGTTTTCCAGTGCTTCATGACTTTTGCAACAGATGTGGAATAGACTACTTCATGCTCTCGAGTGCGGAATAGATAATCTGAGGAAAATGGCAGGAAATTTAAAAGTTTTTAAGGTTAAAGTTAAACAATACCATAGTCTTCCTGAATTAATGCGTTTAAGACACTATATGGCAAAGCCAACATGGTACAACTTTAGCCTACAGATATTTCACCATTTTGATTGGTACAATAAATAATTGCGTGAAAAGATCATAATTCAGTTTCCAGTCATTTAAATTGAAATTCAGTTATATTAGAACTCAAGGGAACTATATTTGTGGTAGTTTTTTTCTTTTTTTTCCTGGGAGTTTGTGTTTGCGGCAATCAATTGAGAACCCTTCAAGAAATTAGCCAGAATTTCCAAGCGATATGTCTTGACTTCTGCCGCTTAAACGCATGTTGTTCTGAATTATGATTTAAATATTAGGTCCTATTTTAGGGTCACCTTGAATGCATAAATATTAGGTATTAAAGCGTTGTTATCTTACATAGAATGATCGAATGGCTGCGGACATGGCTGTGGAGCTGAAGAAACAGAATGTTGCCTGCGTGTCACTTTGGCCTGGAGCTGTGATGACTGAACATGTCAATGACTTTTTAAGCCAACCACAAGATGAGATTGTAATTTTTTTTGTATTTATATTTCTTACCCCTT